CCCCCCCCCCCCATCGAAACAGGCCCACTTCCAGTACATCTTAGACGTTCTCAATTACTTTGTGTACATTGTATGCTTGGCAGCGATTGGCGAAATTCGTTTCCCAGTATGTTGATGATGATGGTGATCATGGAAATCTCCGCGTGTATGGAGCAAACGGAGCGTGAACTGAAAAGCTGGGAAGCGTTGTAACGCACTACCTAGAACAAACCCTGATTTATGTTGTTGAAAGATTAGAACTGAAGTTGAAACTACCAGTCAACAAGAGCCCCTTCATTTTCAATTCCTACGAGTGCGTAGAACTCAAATCTAGCTGCTCACTAAGCGATACAAGCCAATTTGATAACATCACGGTAGAATATAAGTGATATTTTAAGTGAAACATTACCTCAATGCCCCTTGGTGCTCCAGTGACACCAGTAACATCGTACAACTTAGCACTACCCATAAGTGCGTTTGCTTGAAGTCCAGTTTCACGTTCAGGCAGAACACGATAGAGCTGAGCGGAAGGTGTAACCAACCCGGTACTGTCTTCCATGGCCTCCTCGATTGTTTTTTTGCGTAACTCGATGGTACTCTGTGGTGTTTCCAGACCCGCACCGACACTAGATATGCCACTTGGAGTAATCAGTCTGAAATGAGATCAATTCAAATGTATACAATAATATTGACTGAAGAAAACAGGTTTGACGGATATGTCTGTTGGTCAATTATTATTTTTCCTCTCATTCATGTGTAGTCGATATTCGAAGAGTTCAGCTTGCATCGTCGTGTGACGGTGTTGATTTCGATTTTTCGACTACCCAACCAATGTGGAAAAAGTAAGTGAGAGAGTTTAAAACTACGAGCACTGAAAGAAAAATTCTGAAAGTAAATGAACCATATCTATGTAGAAAGCGAGTAGATGAATTAATCCCATTACTTATTATCACTATTTCCGCACGTAACCTATTACACTGAATAAGCAAATCTGCCATAACATATGTAGAAAAATCTGTAGAATGTGTTCATAAATCGTGTGGGCATATCACTTCCCGGTTGCATTGACCGAGGAAGATGGGTAACCTCGGGGTCCCCACCCGAAGCCTTGGCCTAGAAAGCCAGATAGCACGACGGTGCTCTGAGTCCGCAGTCCATTGGGGGCCGCTGACCAGTTCATCGGGGTCAAAAATCCAAGGTGCCCAATACACCTCGATGCCCAATTGAGCCGTTGACCACTGCCACAACCAGGAAGGTGTGGTTTGTACGCCTCTTGATTGGTTTGGAATCAGGGTTTTCAGCCAACTCCACTTGATGAACTGACAATGGTTTACCACACTCGGATGTTGACTTTTCGTCCTCTCACTTTGGTGGGAAAGCACCGTCACCAGAAGGCAGTGAGTAGGGCTTCCTCAGCAGAGGCTATTTGAGACACTTCGTCATATAGCAGCATTTCACGAGATGTAACGGAAAGGTGACCGAGGGACAACCCGAGACACCTCGACTACAACTAGACTTTCAGAGACACTGTTTACCACAGTATTTCTAACCATTGTTTAGGTTTGTCACAAACTCCCCAATCAGGAAGCCTAATGCGAGGAGAGTCGCAGTCAGCCGAACGCTGTAACCCATCAAAAGGGTACGTGATTTAATGAACAATGACACTGTTTTCCAATGGATTGCGGTTTTCAAACAGCACCTCGCTGCCTTGCTGGTCAAACTTTGGCTAGTCGAGGGTTCTGGTTGTAAATTCATGTAAAATTCACTTGCTTTTCCCCGAGTAACCTTTGGTGGTAGGCAGCTTTGCGGTCGCCCGGGTCTATACTACGCCTGAGCTAGCGGGGCTTTATGTGGTTCGCCACTCCAAGCCTTAGGCTTAGGTTGCCGGTTACCGTCACTGACCAGCAGGTCTTCGTAAATATGGGGTCCACCCCGACTGCTGTTCATTACGCACTAGTGTGTAATAAAATAATTAAAAAAATGAAAATTTTAAAAAAGTATCTTGCATACCAGTCAAAGATCGCAGCACCGCGATTTGTTTGACCTACGTGAACTGTAAATACAATATAAGTTCAGCAGCAAACTCTTCGAACCCCTACTAACCGAACATTGCTGGAGATAAACACTAAAATTACCCATTGATAAGTGACTTAATGCACGCGAAAGGCACACATGACTCAAGTCTAGAATAAAGAAACCTACAGACGATGTATTCAACACTGAACGGACCAGAAGCATTCCATCGGAAAAACGAAGTTGACTATCCAACGGAATGAGTAGATAGATGAAGTCCTTGCATGAATCGCTTACCCGCCAGCGGGCGTGACTAAGCCACCCAAATCCAAATCGCCACGATGAGCCCCCGGTAAGGTAGCCAAAACTTTCTGTGCATCACCTTCTGCAAGCGGAGCAGATACTGCTTCGTCTTCGCCGTCTTCATCAGTATCCATATCTTGGTCTTCCTCTTCACCCTCGGATTCCTCGTCTGATTCCAGTTCTCCCCAGAACGTGATGGTCCCGTTGGCTATGAGCGAAGCGTTAGAAAGGGAGTATAAGTTATGATTTCATTTGTCGAGACGATAAAATTTTGGTGAGAGTAAGTGATATAATCAGATATGCAATAATTTTCAATCTGCACGAAGAAGCGATGTTTCGACATTTTCGATAACAAACTCCAGCAACATCCCCAAACGTGCATTTGCACAGATCGCAAATTTAAATACAAGAAATTCAACAACGACAATGATGTTCGAACTGAGAACGGGTTTGCTATTTGAGACTCTCAGTGAACGCTTACCGATTTGCTCATCCGCTTCGTCTAATGGCGCAGGTGGAGGTGGAGGAGGAGGAATACCCGCTATATTTCCACCGTTACCGAACACATCACCATAAAGTGGACGGCCGAGCTCATCTACGGGTGGTTTGCCCCATCCACCAGGATGATAGCCGAAAGCACAGCCATCTGGAATGGGTGCATTCAATCCAGGTATTTTAAGGTTTGGATAAGATGGAGGTGGTCCATAACGCTGCATTGCGATTAACCATGGTGGTGGATAACGTTCTGCACCCTTTACGTGTTAAATGAAAATAGGAATGGGAACATAATGATAGGATCTCGTTGAAATATGATATGACCCAAAAATGAGCAATTTTTTAGAATACAAGTTACAGATGAAAGGGTTTTCTGTGATTTTATTAGTAAATCACGATGGTTGCATTCAGAAAAGAACAAATACGCGCCAGTGGCAGCTAATTCGGCACAGGTAGAGGTGGTGACAGGATCGGAGTGTTTTAAGTTGACGCGTGGAGATACAAACACCAGTTTCTTGAGAAAACTAGCTTCATTACCATTCCCGTAGCCGGATTGAGAATCAGCTAGTTGTTTCCATGCCTCGAGTGAATTACTGACTGAAAAACTTCCATCTGAATAGGAATAAATATTATCACAAGCAGTTGAAGTTCAGTTAAGTTAATTCTTATCAGAATAACAATAGTTGAATAACCCTAGCACCATCCTTCCACAGTTTTGACAGACAGCTGTAGTGCCGTCAGCTTGATATCAGAATTATCTTCTTGGATCTTATTTAGCTCGCTAGCCCAATTTCCACGACGTCGTCTTCCGGGTTTTATAGCTGAACAGCAGACTTTCCTGACCACGGGAATCACCCGTATTGCTCATCACCCTAAGACATTCAACAAAATCAAAGAGCTAAGCTCCCCCCCCCCCCATGCNACATACATATCCTGAAATATCTCACAATATGGGAACTTACAGCACCCGATGGCAGTCCCAGAGCGGCTCGAAGTTCATCGGACAGGTTGCCGGGCTTCTTTTCTTTCAGTTTGATTTCAAACTCCTTTCCCTCGTAATAAAGGTCACCATGTATCGAAAGTTTCGGCTTGGTTTGATACTTGAAAAAGGCATCGTGCAACTTGTGATAATCAATATCAACTTTTCCGACTTTCGGACGAATCTTTTCACGCATTTTCGTCTTTAATGTTTTGTCGGCATCCTAAAAGAAAGATAGCAATTGGAAAAAATTATAGGTGGTAAAAATAAGCATTATTGATCGCAGCGGACTTATAAATAAATTGATAGATTCGGCAAATACACCACTTAGCACTTAAACGAAATGTCAGCTGATGGGTTACAGCCTTGAATTCACACAAGCAGGCATTTCGTACGTCGGCCTCCAGTTCGATTTTTGTATTCTGACTGGTTAATACATCCTATTTACGTGTATCATTTTCTTCTAATGGCACCACGATGCTAGTCCGGCACTCCAAAACAATTCACAGTGAACACTGTATTCTACGCATGGTTTCGAAATTTTCAGTTCGATGAATTGCGAATTAGCACTTCGTTATGCAAACTGCCACATCTACCTTGAAGTTTCTGGGATAAGCAACTCCAATCAGATGAAAAAGCTTTTAGAACCTACCGCATGCGACAGTGGACTTCATGGCTGTGATTCATTCGGTCAAACAGATTTCGCGTTCTATTGTAGAATATCAAGTAATCCCTCAAAAGAATGGCTGTGCTCTTAGAGTCATTGGAAATTTGCTTAATTTTTATCGCTTTCATTTTAGCCAAGACGGGGATGCTTAATGCCTAATAAGCGAATCGAAAAATGACCTGCAACTGCATGCTACACAAATGGATGGCCACTGAATATATCTATACAGCCGACTTATTCTCATGCAGGTGACAATTTCGACAAACTACAGCACACCGTCGAAACGTTTCATATTTAACTTTGTCATGTATTCTTCCGACAAGATTAAGGCCGACAGTAAACTATCTACGGATGATGTCACCCACGTGCCTTATGGGAACCACAAACTTTCTTTCTTGAAGTCAAAATCTGTGATTACTGAGGGTATAATCTGCCTCTATTACACCATAACGGTAATTCAACGTCCCAAGTGAATTCAGAAACTAACAAAACACATGAGAAAAAAATGGACCTGTTACACACTCTAAGCAACCTGTGTTTGGAAAATTATTGAGACAACTAACCTTGTCCTGGACTGTTTGTCTCATTTCCATAATTCCCGTACGGGCAATGTACTCCGGCAACTTGAACGGAGGTTTCTCAAACCCGCGTTTGCCTTGTAAATATTTTCGTTTCGCGCACCAATGTCGTGGAACTGGGACTGTATTTCGATAAGCTTTTAAATGGGCCAAAAGTAGTGGATCACGTGCACATACGTCCCACATCTCGATCACATCAGGACGGCTTACCATTTGTTTCAGAGCAGCGACGGTTGGACGATTGAGTCTTTTCAACTTTTTCTTGCTCAGGACTTCAGTGTTTTCTGGAGCCTCTCCTTTGCCGTGACCGGACTGGAAATCATCACGATTATATCCTCCGCGAACGCCATCTGATTCACTAAAACTCGAACGTCGATTTTTTACTTCTGTGGCTGCAGCTGCCTCTTCTGCCAGCAACGCAGCTGTGCGAGCCTTCAAGTTGATATCCGTGTGGGATACTGGCTTCGCAGGAACGGCATCTGCATCATCTTCAATCAACTGAAAGATGTGAAAACGTCGTATCGGTTTCGTATGAAATCTGTGACTGATCCTGTTTTTAACACTCGTTAAGCAGTAACAGAAAGGAAAATTTATGGATAAACCCAAAACAGTACGAAAAGCGAAGTGGAAACAAGTTACAAACCAGCTGATGAAAATAAGGACATGGTCACTTGAGACTGAAAAGAACTAAGTTTTAGAACCATTGCAACAAACGTGGTTGGTAGAAGCGTATGCGAAGATGAGTCCGGGATCGAGGTAGGTGATGCACTAATGACACTGCGGTGACACATTATTCAGATTTTTTAAAGACCACTGTGGTGAACAATGGAGCTACCAATCCTCATAATTGGAGTAATTTGTAATACTTTGGTGACCAGTAGTCTTTTTGTTACATAGCTTAGTGTAATGAGCAGCAGAAGAGCTGAACTCCAGTTGCGACGAGCTAAGTTTCAGTCACAGAAACCGGTCATCTGAACCCGAGAATAAGATCAACAAACCTCGTAACATCGAAATAGGATAAACGTATTGATCCGGATGACGGAAAATTCGTGAATTATCAGCGAATGCGAGTGGAAGGTGAAGCGTCAACTTTGAAAGAGATGTCACTCGTTCTGCGTGAGTGTCTATTTAGGCTGGTCAATGGTTTACACCGATCGATCGAATTGCCGACGAACAGCAGTTTCATGACTAATTTACTAAACTTGTTTGCGTGAGCCAGACGGTCAGCCGAAGGACAGCAACCAAAACCGGCGCATGAAAGTGCATGACTAATGGTTGTACAAACTGAAGTGAACTGAACTGTATAAATGAGTCTATGCTGCAATACTGTAATGTTCCTCAAAGAGTTCACAATGCATATTTGAAGGTATATGTGCATCAGAATACTACCTAGAAAACCGTCGTGCTATACCGCTTCACTGAACGAAATGAAGTGATTTTGTCTTTGTTTAGTATCAACTTCCGTCGTCTCGGTGCTTGATGACGGGTTGCTTTTTTTTATTACACATCACAATTTGATAAACAGCAAATAGGGAAAAAACCACAGTCAAGAGGACCTGCTGTTCATTGATGGAAACCGGTAGCCTAAGCCCCGGGATTTGAAGTGACAAACCACATAAGGTCCCACTAATTAATGTGTGGTATTGAACCGGACTACAGCAAAGCTGCCTACCACCAAAGTTGGGTGGCGGTGGCGGGGCTCGAACCTCGAACCATCGGGTCCAAAGCACGCCAGTGACAGCGACTAAACCACTGTGAAATTCTAATGCAACCAACAAAACAGGTTCACTGCCCATGCATTCGTACTTACCTTGTGTGCGTTTTGTCTGGCAGTAATCAGTAGGGTTCAATGCACTATACCTCTGTGAAAGATTACAATCATGCCTGGACAAACCCACAGTATTGAGGACCCACAGTTCAGTAATGGTTAACGGCGTCTCGAACAACATAAGCTCAAAACTAACACCAAATGGTTCATCCCACTTTACTTTCCCTTACTTTACTATGGCTGGCTCCTTTGAAAGGATGAGCCTGCTCAATGAACGTCTCTGAATGCCGACGTAGAAGACGTGATCATGAAGTTACTTGGGAGTTTGGTACGAGAGAAGTCCCCAGCGTCACTCGGTTCATCCCACTGATTTTGACACCGTACTCGTTTAAAAACAGCATCACTGTAGTTTTACAGCGTGATTCGGTTAAATAAACTTTATATGATGAATTCGTAGTGCGAATGAGGCGTGAGCTGAAAAGCTGGGAAGCACTGGACAGCTGTTTCGACCTGGTTGGGTCTCATCAGCAGCGCAAATCCATCGACCCAACTGGAGATCGAACCCGGGACTTCACAGGTGGAACGCAAGCATACTACCCAATTGGTCACGGGGCATTTGATCAGACCGTTTCTCATCTTGAATATACGCGACTCAATATTGTCACGAGCCACGTCAGCGCATCTGAATTCGTTGTGACGAATTTGGCGCTGATACTTCGGAGCAAGACGTCCAATCCGGTTGCTAACATACTCGATACATTTAATTTGTGCCAAACTACGCAAGCACCAGTTGTTCAATTGCGGTTGGGGGCGACATTCTTATCTCAGACATATTTAGCTTTAGTTTCGGTTTTTACAACCATTAACCGTACACTTTCGTGCACCGGTCTTGGTTCCTGTCTTTTGGTCGCCCATTTGGATAAAGGAGCAGAATGAAGATTGGAATATTGAGATCAAATTCAAGGGGAAGATACAGAATTCATATAGACTAGGGTTGCATGAATAACGAGCAGATGCACGAGCACCACTATTTGCGACACCCAACCAGACATATGCCGTCTGCTGGTGTTTATCAAGGTTTCGTGATCCCCAAATATACATACACACGCTCACCATAGGTGCTCTCTATTCCACTTTCAACCCCATACATATCTTCGCCGATGATGGCGCTTTTCCTAGATTTTTATCTTATCTAACTCCCACCTCATCAAGCATCTCCTTAGATTGATTACACATGTCTACGCCNTATGCCCTGTAACAACTTGACGATTATCTAATGATGCAACGTTCAACACTCCCAGATGTATTGAAACATGATGCGAGCTGCTCAGCAGTCAATGATGAAAAGCCCTTTGTTACCCCTATTCTGTTTTTTTCCTGGAGTTGATTCTTTTTTTATCTGTTCTTGGACTCTGCATGTACCGACTGTTTTCTGAACTGCAATTGAGTTGGACGCTTTCTTGCAATCCTACATAACCTTAAATTATACCTCATTCTGAGTGAACATTTCAGATTTGGAGTCTTTAACTTTGCCTGGTCTTTAGTTAATTGTGCTTGGCACCAGACTACCCATCTCGTAGACAATCTGACAGTGACTTGCTCCAGGCAATCGCTAGCCCATCCCAGCTGATGCTTTATTCTAACCTCGTTATCATTACTGTTCTTCTCATCATCATACAGCAAAATGCAGAAGAAAAAAACCTCACTGAGTACTTCCAGACTCGCAATGCATACAGAGTTAGTGGGAATATGTAAGATGGACGTGAATTGGGCCTACTTTCAGGGAGAAGGAAAGTGAACCTCTATGTTTAACACAGAGGAGACAATCTAACTGCGCATAACTGCTCAAGCCTTAGCACTTGATAAGTGACAACGAGAACGCCACTACTGTCTGTTCGCTACCATATCCTTCAGTGTCTCCAACCAACCAGTTGCAGAATCCTTCGAACCCCAACAAAGATAACGGGAGACAACAAACCTACTTAATCGCTGTGATAATTCGCCACTTGACACTCTTAAGGGAGATGAATACCCGCAAGCCGGATTCCGAACAAGTCGCAATAGCATTGACCAAATCTTCACTTTTCGTCAAGTCCTCGAATTGCGCCACACATCGCCGGCCAACAATCGTAGTGTTCCTTGATCTAAAAGGAGCCTTCAATTCAGTTGACTGTGAAGCCCTTATGAAGTCGCTGCTTCGCAAAGGAATGCCGCTGAAGTATGTAAACCCATTGCGGTCGCTGTACCTGCATACTCCTGGTAATGTAAGGGTCTACGGTGGGCTAAGTACATCATTCGGAGTGTTCGTCAAGGGTGCCCTCTTTCACCATTCCTGTTTAACTTCGTCGTAGACGAAATATTGGAAGACGCACTTAGTGGTCTCCAAAATGTTGGTGTTGAATGGGCAGCTAGAGAAAAGCTGAGTTTGCGAATGCGCTGACCACATCGTTTGTCTATTCGAGTGTAAGGAGGATGCGCAAAGCGCATTTGGTATGTGATTTGCGCCCTCAAAGTGCCGTCCACTCCAGCGCTGATGTTTGATGGTCAAGAATTAGCTGCAGTGGAATGTTTCACCCACTTAGTTAGCTGTGACAAATGACGGTGGCATAGTCGATGAAGTAACTAACCACCCGCATTTCCAAAGCTAGCGCAGCTTACGCAGGACTGAAACACCTTTGGTGCAGACGCAATGTTTCGTTGAAACTGAGAGGTATACTGCGCCAGTGTGCGTTCAGTTCTAGTTTATGGTTGCGAGACCCTTAATTTGCGCGTGGAAGATATTCGTCGACTATAAGTCTTTGACTGCTAATGTTTAAGTAGTTGGGCGCGGTGTTGATTTAGCGATCATGTAAGCCACTCTAAGGTAAAGCGTCGCGTATTTGGTAATGATTTGATGGAGAATGATAATGATACGATGGAATTCAGATTAGTCGGCTTCGCTGGTTAGATCACGTATTGCGCATGCACAGCCATCGTCTAACGCACCACACTTTATTAGCAGTTTCGGCTCCAGGTTGGAAGAAACCACACGGAGATCATCCGATGACGAGGAAACGAGGTATGAAGAAATGCACAAAGCGATTAGGTAAATTAGGTGTTTTCCGTCTTCCGAGTTGGGGTTTAACTGGTTGGTTGATGATACTGAAGGACACGGCAACTAAACGACAGCAGTGGCGTTGATGATAAATCGCTCTGTGCATTTTTTCAGCCCTATTTTCCACATCATAAGTTGACCTCCACATGGTTTCCTCCAGCCCCGAGCCGCTGCAGCGATTAAGGCGCGGTGTAGTAAACGACAGCTGGGCGTGCGTGGACAAATAATCCAAGTTGATGCTAGTCCTCCATCTGAAATGGAGGTTTCTCGGGAAATAAGTTACATCAGAAGGCAGAAGGCCTCTGGCCCAGATGGGCTGTTCCCATCAGCGTTTAAGGATGGAGGCTCAGCCTTAGTCTTGGAGTTGACAAAACTCTTGGGTTCAATATGGGAAAGGGAAGAGGTTCCAGCTGAATGGTGTGAGTC